TAGTCGACCACGGTTCAAGTCCTGGACCCGGTGGTTTAAACTCACACCGGGCGCATGTGCGTGAATGCCCAAAATCCCAAGAGGAGAATGGAGGAGAAGGGATTGCGGCATGGCCATCCCCCCTGGGGGGGTGATTTCTCGCTTTCTCTCTGTCTGTCTGTCTGCATGCACCCTACAGCAAAAACCTCTCAAAAAAAAAATAAAACAATAATAGTTAATAAAATTAAATAACTAATTCAAAAAGCATTTTGAAAAAATATATAGTACCTTCTTTTCCTTAGACTATGTCATTAGAATAGTCCAAAATATATCTAAATATCTAATCCAGCTTATAATGTGTGTTTACACTCTAATCTAGCAATTAAATTTTCCACAAGCCAAAGGATTTTCACTTCCTCATCCAAAAACTACCCATTGATGGTAAATCCCCCATTGTTCAAATGTTGTTTGAGGATCCTATGGAGGAGGGAATCAAATATTAAAGTAAAAATTAAAATGTATTATGTCCACATTCAGCCAGCTTAATTCTGGAAAATTTCTTGTATGTAAAAAATATTTAGTGAGACCAGCAGATGGTATAATGGTTATGTCGCTGGACTCCTACATGACCGACCATGGTTTGAGTCCTGGCAGCTTCAAACTCATTGCAGCCTGACCATCACCCTGGGGGTGATTTCTCACTTTCTGTCTCTTTCTCTCTCTCTCTCTGGCAAGTGCATGCACTCTATAGCAAAAATCTCTCTCTCTAAAAAAAAATTAGCAATAGAAGTCATATAGCATGATGGTTAAAATAGTAGGCTCTAGCAATCCACAGATAACATAATGATGACGCCACTGGACTCCTGCATAGTCGACCACAGTTTGAGTCCCAGACCCGGCAGCTTGAAACTCACACTGGGCATGTGTGTGAATGTGCACAAAAATTGCAAAAGGAGAATGGAGGAGAAGGGACATGTGGCCATCTCCCCAGGAGGTGATTTCTTGCTTTTGACCCTCTTTCTCTCTCTCTCTGTCTCTCCTGCGAGCACACATGCCCTATAGCAAAAATCTCTCTCTTAAAAAAAAAAAGTAGGCTCTAGCTTTGAAATGTATTCAAGGGGTCAGGCAGTGGCACAGCGGTAACACAATTAGACCCACATGAGGTGGGGGGTTTGTCTTAGGACCCCATGAGCATACTGGACACGTGTACTTGTATATTGTGATCTAGGTTGTCTGAGACTGGGGAGTGGATTGTGACTTGAAGACTCAGTTGACAGTGACTATTACTCTCTCACTTTCTCAAGAAAGAAACTTTTAAAAAATGAATTTAAATTCTATTACATCACCTTGAATAAATATCTAATCTCTCAAATCACAGTTCTTTGTCTATAAAGTTGAGACTGGATGGAATTATGGAAAGTATTAAATGAGATAATAAATGTCAAGCTCTCAGCACAATGTCAGTCAAACAGTACTCTTACCATTGTCAGCTATGATGAGGATGATAGCCAATTTTACTTTTTATTTTCAGTTGTAAATAAAACTAAAGAGTTTTCGATGACTTTACTTTTATTACAGACTTTTCACTAGGTATATACTTCAATGTATCACTTAAACTTTATAAAACCTAGTCTCAAAGAGTAGGCCAAAAGAAGAAAAAGGTCACCAGTAGCAGAAAGATGAATCTGATCCCACCTGCGTCTCCATCCCTTTCCTGATTCCCCCACCCAATGCCTTGACCATATTGGGTACTTAACAAATCAAGGAGCCAGCAGGTGGCATGGTGGTTAAGGTGCTAGACTCCCACATGGCCAACCACAATTCGAGTCCCAAACCTGGTGGCTTGCTTTCTCACTTTCCCCCTCTCTATCTGTCTCTCTATAATGAGTACACATGATCTATAGAAAATTAAATAATAATAAATAAAATTAAATATTTTTAAAATTGAATTAAATTGACTCAAAAGGAAAAATACTAAACACATCTCTGCTTCTTTATGTTATTTTAATTGTGTATTTTTTTTTCTTTAAAGTATGGTCCTTTGAGGAAAACAGAACATGTTTACTATAGAAAAACACATATCCTTTTAGCCTAGCAATTTTGGAAGCAAAAGTTGGTCTCCATGGTAAGAAGATGGAAAGGGAGTAGTATTAATAGAAGATAGCACAGAATTAATGCACAATTTTTAGTGTAAAGGAATGATTTTTTTAAGCTGCTCTGCCTAAAACCACATTGCAAACTATATAAGTTATGCTAAATTGGTGAATAAAAAAAAAAAAAAGAGTCAGCCACAATATGAGAGCTCAGAATGAATGTCAATAGTCAGCTCAGAGGAAGCGTCCCAGGAAAGTAGAAGCCTCTCACACCCGTGACATGCAGAGGCTTAATTGGTCCTCCATCGGCTTGGAAGAAAGGCTTTGAAAATACTTCTGACCTCTTCGGAACAGATCTGTAGACATATAATAATGCTTTCATCCTCACATCCGGGAGTTGCCCAAGTAATAGAATATCAGCATGGATAAAAAGTCTAGTAAGACAGTGATTGTCTGACATTCTCAACTCTTCCCCAGGCCAATGTTGGGTCACAAACAGTTGCTTTCTATCTGAAGGTCTTTAACTCCCTTCACACAAGGTTTAATGTGGTGTATTTTTTTCTCATTTTTTTCCACACTGTCTTCTGGTAGGGCGTCTTTAGTCTTTATTTCTCTATGTGATTGAATCTGTGTAATAGTATTTTAGGGATATCTTTTTTTTTATTATTATTTAACTTTATTTTTTATTTATTTATTTATTTTTATTTGACCAGAGAGACAGAGTGAGAGAGAGAGGAAAACAATTTATTTATTTATTTTTATTTGACCGGAGAGACAGAGTGAGAGAGAGAGGAAAACAGAAAGAGAGAAAGGGAAAAATGAGGAAGCAAGCTGCCAGGTCTGGGACTCGAACCATGGTCAGCCACATGGGAGTCCAGTGCTCTTTATCACCACACCACCACCAGCCAGTCCTTTATTTGAGGGGGGGATATCTTAATGCATTTCTTTTTACTTGTTCTCATAGGAATTTCTTGAGATAATGCTTGTTATCTGAATTTATTGAAATGATACTCCATCGTCAACTCTGTTGCCTACACTTACCTGACACTCCCTTTCTTTCTCATTCATTTACATAGTCTTATATCCTAAAGTAGTGATATTCTTAACATGATACCTATTGAAATGAGAAGGCATCCATTAACATTACCATAAGATGGGACCAGGTGGTGGCACAGTGGTAACATAGCTGGATCCACAAGGGCAAGGCCCTGAGTTAGTGACCTAGGACCTCCCCGATTGTGCCAGGTGTGCACACGTGCTCATGGCCACCAGAGACTGGGAATGGATTGTGGCAATGAAGACCCTGTTAGGAGTGCCCTTCTCTCTATCTCAGAAGTAAACTTCAGGGGCCAGCAGGTGGTGTGGTGGTTAAGGCAATGGACTTCCACATGGCCAACCACAGTTCAAGTCCCAGACCTGGTGGCTTGTTTTTTCTCTTTCTCTCTCTCTTGTGAGCACATGTGCTCTGTAGCAAATTTTAAAATAAATAAGATTAAAAAATTCTTTTTTAAAAAAAAAGGAATGAACTTTTCAAAATAACCATAAATTTTATTTTTAAAATAAGCATACATAAATATCTGTGTGAGTATTGTATACCTTCAAAAAAAAGGTTGGGATGATACTCACATAGACTTTGGAATCCATTGTAGAACCAAGAAAATTACTCTGTTCTCTTACAGCAAAGCTTTAGTTTTACCAGGGTTAGTATTACTCAATTAATTTAGCCACCCTGATGCCAAATTTTCTTTGATAGTTTTGACAGTTCACAACAGTCCTTAGAGCATGAAACTCTAACCCACTAAACATTTTCAAAAGAATGTGGAGCTTGGGACCAGCAGTTGGCGTGATGGTTAAGGCTCTGGACACTTCCACATGGCCAACCATGGTTCGAGTCGTAGAACTAGTGGCTTGCTTTCTCACTTTCTCTCTCT